AACTGGCGGTCAGTTTCAGCAGCGGCTGAATCTGGACGCCAGTTCCGACTTACATACAGATTCAACTTAAGAACAAACCTACAGTCCCTATCTTGTACGTAACCCGGGGACTGCCTGTATGATTGAGACTGTTTTCATCGTTTCATACCGACTCAACAGACAATCTTAGGTAGATAAGCTTAATAAGACGCGCTATTCCTCAAAAAAGCCCTGATTGCCATTTTTGTGATCGGGTTTTTTTTGGGGAAAACAAATCCAAGCTGTCTACACTGGCCCTTTTGCGCAAAACTTTTGCGCAAAAGGAGTTTTGCCCGAACAAGAGCAGCATAGTATTTCCGCAAGAAGCACTGGTTTCTTACAGTAGGAAGTCAGTGCTTTTGCAGAAATTCAAGCGGCTAGTGTGGACAGCTGGCATGTTTTTCTGGAAAAGTGGCTGATTTAGAGAAATTGGAGAAGATCCAGAGAAGAGGAACAAAAATTATGAAAGGTCTAGAAATGAGTTTGAGGCAAGGCTGAAGGAATTGGGCTTGTTTAGTTGGGAAAAGAGAAGACTGAGAGGGGACATGATAGCGGTTTTCAAGTATCTGAAAGGAAGTTATAGGGAGTAGGGTGAAAAGTTTTTTTCCTTGGCCTCTGAGGATAGGACAAGAATCAACTGGAATAAGTTGCCTAGGGAGGTTGTGGAATCCCCATGTCTGGAGATATTGAAGAGCAGGTTAGATGGGTATCTGTCAGGGACGATCTAAGAGGTGTTTGGTCTTGCCGTTAGGGCAGGGGACTGGACTCCATGGCCTCTTGACATTCCTTCCAATTCTAGTATTCTATGATTCTATGGCGTAAGAGCATTTGTGTAGTTTAACATTTAAATGTGTTAATGATTAGCATGCATCTGTAATTAAAATGACATATATTAAATAATGTTCAAGGATCTCTTAAATCACGCATGCTTGAGACCATTAATGAAATAATGTTTTATGTGTCTTTTTTTTTATAATCCGAAATAACAGTGCTGCCATAAACGTTCGGCTTTGACCTAGTATTGATTTCATTATAGTTCAGACTTAGAAAGTAATTTCAGAGCACTTTTTTCTTGTGCAATGTTCATAGAAAGTGTGAACTGAGGATACTACTACACTGTCCTCCTTTCTTCTCTCTCCTCTAACATCCTATTTTAAAATTAGTGAAGCGCTTCAGTTCCTAACCTTCTTTGTGAGCATCGTCTAGCGCACACTCTTGCACATAGAAATAAAATGAAAGCCATTGATACGTTTGTCATGCTGCCTTTTTGCTTTCAGTACGTGTACATTGCCAGTAAAGTTAAACTTTGTGACTGAAACATTACAACTGACATTCTTGACAAACTTTCTAGTATTTTGCCAAGTCTCAGGTATACAATTGTGTATTTAATACTTTCCATGATTGATAAAAGGAAACGGCATCCCTTGGTCTTTGACCAAAGGAAGTCTTAAAAGTAATCACTGTTCACACGGATTTGGCTCTGCTCCAGTGAAGACCATATGTGTTCTGCTTTTTATTTTAATGGGAGCCAAACTGAACATGTAATCCCCAGTTCCGCAAACACTTAAGAATTAGAATAGTTCCTTTGATGTTAATAGGACTACCTATATGTGAAAAGCCAAGAATGTTTGTGTGCAGAGTTGGTTCCTTCTGACCAAGATTTTCAAACCTTGCTGCCCAATGTTAAACTCCTAATTTGCTACACACAAAGTGTCACATAATTATGTTTAGGGATTGGCCTAATATTTAAAAGTATTGATCACCTGCTGCTCCCACTGACAGCAGCGAGGCTTGTGGATCCTCGGCATGTTTGCAAAATAGGCTTCTTGTATTGAGGTTCTTCAGTATAGTCCTGTTTTTTATTCTAGCAACACCAAACTAACACGGCTACATTTCTATCTCTGTTCAGTATAGTAGTTTCTGGTAAATCAGGAGTTTAACTGTAGGCTCCCAGGTTTGAAACTTTTGCCTTTTACAGTGGTACTGCACGAACTGGTATAAGTTGTAGCTGAACATTTGTCCTGTGTGTGTGCATGTTTTAACAAAACCTGCCTATCAGAGCGAGATTCTGAACAAAATTACCAGCCAAAGTTTGTAGATCAGTTTATATATAGCAAGAGGATGGTTCTGCAAGTAAAATGTAAATACTAATTGTTTAGGGGGTTGAATTCTTTATCCTGCTTTTTAAAGTAGATAATCTTTGTATGAAATACGTTACATAACCTAATATAAGAGGATTTAAAACTAACTTGAAATATTTTATTTTCATGCAGGAAATGACAATGAGATGCATGAGAAAACTAAACAAATGTAAGCTATTGGTTTTTACTTTTCCTGCTTCCTTCCTCCTAATGATAATAGGTTCCAAACACCCATTTAGATGGGGTTTCCTGTTGACAATTACCATGCCGTTCTGTTTTGTTTAACACAGATCTGTGTACATGTAGGAGAGGCTTTGCTAACCAGGTGCTTAAATAATGACAGATCTGGATACTGATTGGTTATGGTCTCTTGCCCTAATTGTGGTTCTTCCTGGATGTGTCTTGTGTCAGTGTCTTCTGTCAGTTCTTCCTTGGTCTTCCTTTCCTTCTGTTTCCCCCTTCAAGTGTCTTAAGTGCTTGTTAATAGTATCTCCTATTCAAGTGTGGGTAAAAAAACAGATGTAGCTAGATCACATGGTAACCGTCTTTCCATTACACGAGCATCTTAACGGGTGAGGCTTACCTGTTCCGGTTAACTGCTAGGGGCTGGGGCAGCTCCCTGCCCACCCAGGGCAGGACAGATAAACAGCTCTTTTGCTTCTTCTCCCACTTGTTAACTGTAAGGCATTCTGAAGGCTGGGAATTCCTGGATAGGCCTGCACATTTTCCCATGTATGATACAGAGCTGTTAAGATACAATTGATTTAAATCTGATCTGTCAGTTATGTCAATGCGACTCTTACTATTCCCCTTCTTGGAAGGAAATTAGATCAAGCCTTTATATGGGCAGAATCTTTTATTGCAGAACCAAAAAACTGGGTGGATGATACATGTGTGCTGTAGTTAACTTTTTGTTCACTTTTCTTAGCTAGGCCGGTCCAATATGTTTCCAGAATCTTTGGGCATCTAGAGCTTGCTTGCATGATGGGCTGCCTAACCATGGATATTTTCTTTATTGGAGCTCTCAGGGTGAGATCACTTAAAGTTCCTCCCCCTGATCCAGTGGTAAACATCAGTTGACTCCAGTGACAATAGGGTTAAGCTAGTCTTGTGGGCTTTTAAAAGTATTTCCTTCAGGGTAAATGGGGATGGGTTTCTGTAAATCACCAAGAGGAAAGAAAACTTTGTCATCAATTGTAATCCACCTTTTCATTTCAGCTACAGTTATGTTCTAAAGCAAAGTGCATTCTCATTGGTTGTTAAAACATGCTGATTTACAAGTGTATACAGCCTTTACACACTCCTTTTTGTACAGGAGGTACATGATCGTTATATGCATTTATTTAGGCAGTTGTGTGTGTTAATATTATCAGCAGCAGGGCCAGCAGTTAAAGTGGGCCCTAGGGCAAGGTGTGTGGGCAAGTTTGCTCTGTGCCCCAGAAGGGACAGAGCCTCAGGCAGACGGGGAGGGCTGGGAGCAGCCAGCCCTTGACGCCTTCCGGATCTAGGTGCTGGGGGCCTCCCCACTTCAGAGCTCTCTGGCATGAGAGCGGCAATTCAAAGGGGGCGCGGGGCTCTAGATGCTGCCGCAGTAGCCGCAGCTAGGAGCCCTGGGCCTCTTTGAACTGCTAGGTACTGGGCAACTACCCAATTTGCTTCCCCTACCCACTACTGTTCTCTCCCATCAGTGGTCCTGGTTATCAGGTTGTTCTTCACAGGTTATTATTAGTATATTAGAAAATGGAGAGTGGTCGGTGGAGTCGTAGATGTGTATAATTTTGAGAATTGGGACCATCAGCGTTCAGATAAACTATGAAGGTGCATCCGAGTGGGCTTAGTGGCAATCCCACTGAGATGCATGCTGGTGTCTCTTGGAATCAAGTTCCATCCTGGTGCAGAGCTTTCATGACTTTGCCAGTTTCTTGCACCCAGCAGCATAGTAACTGGGTCCCCTTTATGACGGAGCCCTTACTACAGTACATGTCCCTTTGTGCCATATTTATAATGCTTGACCTCAACAGGGACGTTTATCTTCTGGTGTGTTCTCTATGCAGAAAAGCAGTGTTTAACTCCGTTTTTGATAGAGGCTCATGGATTGACCACATTTATTTTAAGTCTGATTTAAAAATCCACTTTTATAACTTAAAAAAAAATGAATTTTTATATACCTCAGTGCAAATAAAATGTCACAAAAATAAATCATTAGGCACAATATTAGAGGTTTTAAGAGGCACCCACTCTCAACAATCCAGAAATCACTTAGATGGCAAGATAGA